CAGCCAGAGAGGGCATGGAAGCGCCTTCTCTCCCTCGGCCGGATGTTTACTTATATCTTTTATTATATCCTTTTATAATAAACAGGTAAATAGTAGGGGACCTGCTCCCCCGAGTTCTGTGAGCTGTTCTAGCAAATTAATTGTGTGACTGTGGGAACCTTCTGTTTACAGCTGATTATTCAGAACCACAGGAACAACCTGGACTTGCCACTGACACCTGAAGGAGGCGACGGTCTCGTGGGACTGAGCTTTCAGCCTGCTGGGTCTGAGGCTCTCTCCGCATAGGCAGTGTCAGAATTGAGTTAAGTTGTCTGACGTCCAGCTGGTATCACAGAACTGCTTGGTGTGGGTAAAACTCCCACACATCTGGTGTCAGAAGGGCTGCGAGTGAGGTACTGGTGTGACAGTAATGGAGAGACACACCAGAGGAGGAGCATTTCCTAAACTAATATCCACTTGGCTATGCCACGGTACCCAGAAATTTGGTCAATCATTATTCCAGGTGTGAAGGTATTGTTTTAGATGAGATTAGCATTCAAATGAGCAGGCTTTCAGTAGAGAGATTACCTGCCATAACATGGGTGCACCTTTGAAAAAGGATAATTTAAATAAGATATTTAAGCGTTCATCCTACCTTAGCAGTATGAAGCGTATATCTGGACATCCAGTATTTCTAACTAATGAGGGAAAATTCCAGCAAGTGGGATAACCAAACATTATGTGCCTTCTGATATGATTCTAAATGAATTACCGCTTGTGGAAGGCAGAAAATGCCTGCTCCCCTGCCCTCAAAGAGGTCCGTGTCCTAATTCCAGAATCTGGGAATATGGCAGGTTACACGGCAAAGGGGAATTAAGGCTGCAGATGATCCTAAGGGTGTTAATTTGCTGACCTTAAAACGAGGAGCTTATTCTGCATTACCCACCTGAGCCCCAGTAATCACAACAGTCCTTAAAAGCAGGAAGAAGGAGGGAGAAGCGTTCAGAATGATGCCACGTGAGAAGGACACACCTGCCAGCTTTGAAGATGGAGATGCAGAGCCCAGAGCTGAGGAGCGTGGGCAGCCTCGGGAAGCTGGAAAAGGCAGGGAAACTCTCCCCTAGAGCCTTCAGAAGGCGGTGCAGCCTGGCCCACACCTTGACTTTAGCCTAGTGAGGCCCAGGTGGGACTGCTAACCTATAGAATTGAAAGTAAAAAATGTGTATTGTTTTTAAGCCACTGAGTTTGTGGTAATTTACTACGGCAGCAATAGAAAACTAATACACCACCTACAAAAAAGTTTTTTTCTAAAAAAACTGAACCTGAATCTAATGGAGCGTCTAAAAACAACTTCCATTTACAGGAAATACGTGAGGTAGATGATCACAGTCAGTGATGCGACAAGGAGGCAGTCTAATTTAAATATGGGCTACTCTACAGCTTACATTGGCCAGGCTTCCCCCACAACGCCAGCGTCATGAGGCAAAGCACAGGAGAGGGAACTGCTCCAGGTTAGAAGAGACTCAGGAGACAGAAGAACCAAATGTAACCTCGTATTTTGTTCAGAAACTGATTCAAAACTGATTCAAACAAACCCACTGTGAAGTATACTTTTTAGGACAGTTGGGAAAAATTTACAATGGCCTACATAATAAATGAATTATTAGCAATTTATAAGGAATAATATTAGTGGCTCTGTAATTGTTAAGTAAGAAAATGTACAGTTTTTTTAGAGATGCAAACTGAAGTACCTAAGAGTAAAATGAAATGATGAAATAATGTCTAGGGCTTTACTTTTAAAAATTTTAGAAGGAAGGGAAGAAATAAAGAGGAAAAGATGAGGAAGGAAGGAAAGGAAAGAACTGATATGGCACATATGCCCAAATCTTGATCATTGCTGAATTTTGATAATGGATATATTGGGGTTCATTGTAACTTTCTATTTCTTTGTATGTTTGAATGTTTCATACGAAAACATTTTTCAAGAAAGTAAAAAATACATCCAACACAATCACTTTTTTCATAAAATTGTAGTTTCATAAAATTGTAGCCTTCCAAGGCAATTTTACCTATTTTTCACATGTAAGGATCACAGTTAAGGCCAACCTGAAACAAAATTATGGGTTTAGCAGTGTTTACCCTCAGAGCTCTTGCGACTAGTTTCTCAGGACTTTTCTAGTTGTCCTGGTCATAAAGTCTTTGAGGAAAAGAAATTTGATACCTTCATTCATATTAAGGTGTAAACCACTACTGAGATAAATTAATTAAAATAGAAATAATGCTTTAAGTAAGAAGTCTCTGATGGTGGAACGTGATGCATCATTAACACTATTTTTGGTTTTGTTTTTTAAGAGGGTACTTTTCCTTCAATTACTTCACTAGCTGCCTAAGCTGCCTAAGGTAGTTTAAGAGAATTAAACTTACATGAGCCAGAAACCAGCTACCATCCGTTCCCAGCAGAGAGTAGCCTAACTGTTCCTTCACCAGCAGATACAGGGGCCTGGTACAAATCTGGCAGGACTCTGAACGGAAAGCAGCTGGTGCTGAACTGCCAGGGTTTTCAGACCTCGACCACCACTTCCGGGCTGTGCGGCCCTGACCACGTAACCTACCCTCTCATGCCTCAACTTCCTCATCTACAGTTGGGCTTATAACAGAACCTACATAAATGGTGGTTGTAAGGATTAACTGAGTTAATACACAGAAAGCAGACAGAGCAGTTTTCTCATTTAAAAGGCACTCAATAGGCCGCTCTCCCTTCTCAGCAGGATGGCCCGTATTCAGTCTACAGTGTGTAACTTTTACTTCGAA